TCCCTCAAGGAGAATATGGATGGCTTGTTTCTGCGACGGTCTCATGTCTCTGATCAAGACGTTTTTGTTGTTTCGAGGGAGGTCCATATTGGTTCCTTGTTTCGTATGTTTCATCGGCGGATTTCCGATTCGCAACGGTTCCGCAGTTTACGAAATGCCAGCTCATCTTCTGTATCCCCTTTAGTCAACTTTTATAAAAAGATTTGGGACCTTTTCCCCAGAAGTCACGGAATCCTTTTTGGCAGCCTGCGGTTCATCCGAGTGCGTGCTGGTTTTTTTTATGGCGAACATCCCGTCAGCCGCGTGAACTTTCGGAACAATGCTCCTGTTTGCTTCTTCTACAGAAACTGGTCGGAGTTTAATTTGTTCAAGAAAGATGCGCAATCCTGATAAATCTGCCCGGTTCAATCGGGCATTTTAGCTTTGGAGGGCTTAGTTTTTCCCCGCGGGCGAAAATTTTGACCGTTGCTACTTGTAGCATTTCCAGCGATCAGGTTTGTTGCTGATCAAATATTTGCGGCAAACTTTCGCCTTCCTGGATTCTTCGGTGTTTTGGCGCAGTTTGACCGGAAAATTGTCTCTGTGAGGCCCTGAGCGCTGGGTGGCGGCACCAAGAACTAATGATTTTGGTGACGCTTCCAAAAGGCTCGCTTTCTCTGAGGACTTGATGTCAGCCAGCAGTTTTCTAAGCTGGCGAATTTTGTGTGGGTTGTTTGGCAGCAGTCGCTTTTCTTTCGTGTTTGTGTGGACACCCGATCCGCCGGCGATCAATGTGGCCTACTGGATGTACGTGAGATTTTCCGGTTGGCTGTAGTCATGTTTATAGCTTTGGTTGTCGGAGTTCTGGGCGATGATTGTGTCCACAAGCCGAGAGGCTTGTGGATTGGAGCTGGAGATTGGCTTCGCCGCTTGTCCCCGCACATCTGACTCAGTGCAGTTTAGAGGCTGTGACTTTGGTGAGGAGTACATGGCTGCACCTGTGTCGTCTGTCACGGAGATAAGCCTTGATAGCTCCACGTATTTTGGGCGCTGCTTGCATGTGAGGTTTGCCTCCTCCAGAGCATCACTGCCTTTGGTGGACGAGGGGCCTGTGGTAGGGGAATAAAAACTTCTGTCCGGAGACGCGGCCGGTTGCGTCAGCCTGCTTTCGGGAGCACAAGGGGCTATGACCACAATCGGCGTGGCTATGAGTTTGGGGTCGGCTGAACTGTTGTCAAGCGGAAGTCTGTTTCGTGCCTCTACCCCTGATCTGCTGTGACCAAGCTGTCGCGCGTCAGGAGGGCGATCCTCAGATAGACGCCCGATCACTGGGTTGGCATTTTGAATGCTGACATCCCGCTCCAAGAACTCTTGTAAGGCAGATGGGGTGGAAAGGGTGACTAGAAGCCCAAGAGTTCGCTTGCTTTCCTTCTGGCGTAACCATTTTGCGTGGAGCGATCGATCAGGCTTGATGAGGATACTGCTAAGGATCGATTGTGTCAGCTTCGCTGGGGTGATTTTTCCGGAGAATGACCCCCAGATTATCAATCTGCTCTCCCTTCAGCGCCTGTCCACTAGAAATGCTGCGGCGGTCTTTATAGCCGCGTCAGAGAGCTGTATGACTTTCTTCACAGCCAGAGGACTCGGTATGGATAGCGCTGGGTACCCGTTTAGCGAAGAAAGTTCCTTATCGACTTTCGTCCATGTTGCTGTATTCTTTGTATGAATCCTCAAGTGCCGTAGAAAGAAACTCCAACTTCGCGGCGGGTGTCCGGATCAAAGCGGAACGCTCACATCGGTCTTTCTGATTTTGCAATGGTGATCGAGTACCGTACGGTACTCCAAGAAGTTTTTGGGGGGTGCTCTATTCTTGGCCGCGGTATGCATTGCGCCCTTAATGTAGAGGCAACTGGCGCAGACAAATGGGTCAGGAGAGTTGGTTAATCGGCTTACCTGGTCGTCCTTTAAACCCGTGCATTTGAAGTGCCGCCAGGCCTTGCAGGTGGGACATTGCATACAGAGTCGGCGAATTGCGGTCTGGATCGGGCATCTGGTGTGTGAAGTCAGGATGGTATATAAACTGGTGCCGAGCTACAAATGGTCATTCCTCGCTTGCCCCGTTTGCGGTCCGGGTGCTCACGGCATTGCATACGCCGCAGGCTATTGACACGCCGAAAT